CATATTCTTTGGTGATGTTTGTCACCCTGTTTTTACCAAGATTTTAACATATTTTTTGGTCATATCTCTGCAGTCATTCGCCAAATGCCAGCAAGTGACCAACTACCAATCCCACATGATTTCTGAATCAGTTGTGAGAAGCAAATGACCGTTAGACCCACTGTCTACGTTAAATCGTCATTTTGGACATGTGTCATACTTATGAATAAGACCAACCAGGTTATTAACATACCTGTAGTTCTCGGTTAATTTTAGATTTTTTCACTGAAGCAATCTGTCATCACTGGCAACGGTAATACAGTATGAGGCCAAACTATCAAGAACGCTGAAAACTTCTAAATTGGCCAACATTGAAACAACGCAGAAAAAAATCTCCATAAGTCAACATTAAAAGAATGATAAAAAGGATCTCATTTTGCCACCGCTAAAATCATAGGCACAAACTTCAACTTAGTCACCATTGAAACAACAGAGTGGAAATCTTAAAGATATTATATTACGCTCTTTTATGTGTAAAACATTTTTATTGTAGAATTTTATTAAAATCTAGCGCATTCATACCAAAAAATTCTTAATTTGAATAAGAGAATGCACAAACTATGTTTGACAATCTGCATTCCCTATTATTGGTCAAGTCAATATGGTCCTTTCTTAATTTTTTTTAAACAAAATGCCAGGTTTCTTTAATGACACTGTACTCATATTGTGTTTACCTATAGTGTGTAGAGTTTATAACGTGACATATAAGTAGATCGGCGTGGAAATTATACATTTAGAGGCACATTAAGTCTCGAAAAGAAATGTACTATCTGTTAAAAGGACAATTATGTGTTATATAATGTTTTAAAACTAAATTTTTTAAACACCAAACTTCCATCCAAAATACTAATCATTTTAACTCTAGGAAGTGGCAAAGAATGCAAAAGATGGTCCGGGTTCAATTACTGACCAAAGGGTAACATGGACGGGTAACATTTGAGAAACTGTTACAGGAAACCGAGAACAAAAACTGTTTGAAATAAAAAAAATATTAGAATTTTCAAGGCTCAATTGGCTGCATAGCAATTAACATTACACTGTATTTTCAAATATCAACTTTGAGGGTAATACATGAATATCTTTAACTAGCCATCATTGATATGAAACAGAACAAAATCCACCTTGACTGAAACAGCGCAGAAAAATGTTTTAATTTGAACTTTTAAAGATCACAGGAAGTGCATAAAACTAACTGCATTTTTCAAGGTTGAAAATATCTATGTAGTAAGTAATAGTTGTACAAGCACCATCCGCGAAATGAATACTCTTCCCTCATCACTTATTATCACAGATATGCTATAATTATGAAACTGTTGTTATTATCCCAGTCATTACAAGAGTTTTTATCAATAATTATAACATGTTATTGACGTCACTTTAACTAACGTGCAATTTTCATATAAAGAAAACAAACGACTGAACATCAAATCATTAAACTCTTGGTACTGACTTTTTATGGTTACAGTTGTTACGTAACTTTATAATTATTAACTTACGTAACTAAAAGTCTTAGAAGTGCTATCTCCCTTGTAGAACTTCTAATTATATAACTTAATTTCAGCCTCTGCATTCGCTTTTACATATGACAATAATTTGCGATATTAACCAAGAAAATGTTTAAAAGTATTTTGCTTGAAATTTTGTTATGTATGTTTACACCATCGGCAATATTGTACACGCACCATTAGTATCTCAGGAATGACACAAATTACGGTAGTGCCCCGTATCACCGGCTAAAGCAAAATTCAAAATTCATACATAGAAATTGTAAATGTCATACTTTCGTATTTTTGCCATATACGATGATAAGTTTACTTTTTAGCACTACAAAAAGTATATTTCATACATGTATCAAAAATATTTGTGTTAGGGTTAGAGTGCTTTTTTTAATTCAAACAGTTTTTTTTTTTTTGCTGAATACTTCATTTAACCATAGGCTTCATTAGAACAAATATCAAAATGCCATGAGGTCCTCAACGAGGAACGTTATTAATTCAAACAAATAAATGTATAAATGTTACATAAATGGGATTTTAAGTACAGAGCTACCAAATGTAGTAAAAGAGCTTACACCGGTTTATGATAACCATTGAAATATAACGTTTTAAAATGGTTTTCGCATTTTATAATACTTCAAGATACCTTTATGATATTTTTAATTTAGGTAATTCTTATTTTGATCAAATGGTGTCTGAAATTTATCCGCATGAACTACAACTTAATAAAACGAACTATTGAAATTTTAGTACATCATGTTCGGATCTTCATATTACTATCAACAAAAATTCTATTCACACGAAAATCTATGACAAAAGAGATGACTTTGACTTTTGTATAGTTAATTATCCACATTTAGATGGAGACGTACCCCATGCAACATCTTACGGGATATATGTTTCTCACTTAATTAGATTCGCTAGAGCTTGTAACAACGTAAAGGATTTCAACGAGCGAAATACTTTTATTACCAGCAAGCTTCTAAAACAGGGCTACCGCTGTCATAAATTACAGAAATATTTTACAAAATTCTACAATCGTAATTTTAATTTAATTTCAAAATTCAATAGTGATTTAAAAACTCTTCTGCGACAAGGGATTAGCCAGTCTGGTTTTTATGGCGATGTGATTTACAAACTTCGTAAGATTTTGGGTCATGGTAATTTTCTGCTGTTTTTACTAAAATCATTCAACGTTTTTTTAAAAGAGGTTACGACCCTACTATTTTAAGACATACTGCAAGCTTAATTTTCAACCCGTTTACAGTTGGAAACTACGCTTTCCTCTTTTGATTACATCTGACGGACCAAGTGGGAGACTCTATGATGGACAATTCTTAAAGCCCTTTGAGAATGAATTGCCTTAATGTTCGTCTTCTCTTCTGCTTCGTCGGGCCTTTGTAGGTGATTTTCTTGTTGCTCTGTCTTCCTTTAGGACATTGAGTACTTTTGTTATGGTCATTGGGTTTACTTTTATATGTTTTTACCTGATCATTTTGGTGTTTTGCTTATTTTACCTCTTGTAACCATAACAACTGTTAGAATTTTATTTGGTGGAAATTCATTTTATTTACACTGTCTTGTTTATGGGAATATGTTGGGGCTAAGAGTGAGATTTGGTGCACCATTAACCGGTTTAAACTCCCCATCAGTACTTGTGCTGCTGACCGTTCCAAGGGGGCGCCCCTCTGTGTTCCTCAGATGTAATTCTATGTTGTTTCATACTGTTTTGGTGACACTTTTGCTTGTTGCCTTGTTGTTTTCTCGTCTACTGTAAGTATTTTCCCCTTTGCCCCTAGTTTTTATTTCTTTAATTCCCCCCCCCCCTTCCCCGGTCTACTGTCTCCTTTCCCTGTGCCCTTTGGCTTTGTGGGCCTATTATTCAATCATTTATTTGTTTTCTTTGATTTCCTTATCAGTTACAAATTATTTATCATTTTAGTGATTGACCTGTCCGTGCTCTGCCTTGTGCCCTGTCCTGTTTTTGTTTGGGGCCGCGTGGGCTCCTTACCACAGGTTCTTGTTGCTTTGTCGTATGGGGGTTATGTTCATTGAACGCCGCCTGTCCTTGTTGATCTTGTTTATCATATTTTATAGACATAGCAGACTGGATATAATGTAGGACGCCGTTCTTAAAATCTTAAGATCCAGAATTTGAAAAAATGACATACAAAATTGTTTAATGTTTAGTCTAGCGATGTAAAGTTGAAAATTAGATGATGACCATAATTTTCGAGTATGAACGTCTGGTGATAAAATAAATAAGTCTATGAATAGAAAGGCACCTGATTCAAAATGGGAATCAGGAAAGAATCCCATTTTATCCTGCTACTGTCTATTTCATCAGCTGGATAAAGCCCTGCCGGATAAACTTATCTATCTCCAGTCATTACGTCATATGATGACGTCACATGGTTAGCAGCAAAACAAAATTACATTTAGATGATATTTTACCGGGAAAAAGTAAGAATTAAACCATTTAATTAATCTAAAAACATGATTTAAAGCAGGATAAATCAAATACATGGTTGATGTCGGGATGGAGAAGGTTTATCCGGTTCGCTGCGAAAGTGAATCTAAATCGCTAAAGCTCGCCAAGATACACTTTCTCGCTCACCGGATAAACCTTCTCCATCCCGACATCAACCATGTATTCTCTATCTTTCAATGGATTATATTTACACATTTTTATGTGTTTTATTTACTTCGTCTAAAGTAACCATGGCTATTGTTAGAATTTTACTTGGCGGGGATAAATTTTATGTACACTTTTGTGTCATTCAGGAACATATTGGGGCTAAAAGTTAGGTTTGGCGCGCCTAAAACCGGTTTAAACTCCCCAGTGGTTTAACTACCACTGACCGTTTCAATGCGGTACCCCTCTGTTTTCCTTTACGTGTTTTCATGTCTGTGTTGTTACTAGTTTTTAAATGTTTACATGCTTTGTGATGTCTTGTTGGATTGTCGTTTACGGTAGGAATTTTCTCAAACACCTCCCATTTTTTGGCCCCCTTCCCCTTTTCACCCTTATAGCCCTTTTCCCTTTAATTCCCATATGGGCTCGTTTAAGTTTACATAATTTCACACATTACATGCAGGGGCGTAGCTAGCGTTACGCACTTACGCACGTGCGTAACATTGATCCAGGAAAATAAAAATTTAAAGATGCTAAAAACGGTGAGAAAACTAAAGGGTATGGGTGAGGTTGATATTGGAAGGTTTAGATTTTAGATGATTCGGAATTTCCAATATTTATTAAATAAAAATATAGATCTTCGAAGTATTTATTTAAAAAATTTCCAAAGCCTTAAAACAATTATGACTATATAGAGTGAATATGCTTTGCATTCATAAATTAGCACTAAATTAATTAATGCTTTATCTACGTAAAGAGAGTTAATCCCGTCGTTCGATCATATAGCGGTAGTTCCCCTTAGAAAGTTACATAGCGCGCGTATTTTTAAAATGGCCCAACTTCTAAACGCAAAGTGGGACTCTGTTCATCATTACGCATTTCCGAGCAAGTAAGGGGCTTCTATTTAACCTTTTGTGATTGATTAACTAGATTGAATGTAGTTGTTTGTACTTTGTTTTTGATCTATCTCTGTTTTAACTAAAAAAAATCACTTGGTGTATAGTTCCCTTTACATAATTATGTTATAGATTTACTATAAATTATTGTCATAAATTTTGTTTAAATATGTGCATAATCGATTCCTTCATTTTTTTATTCATATGAATAGGATATATTAAAGTTTATCATAACCGTTGTTATTGCCCGCGTAGCTCAGTAGGTTAAAGCACAGAACTGCAAGGCGTAAAATCGCGTACCCCTGTAGGTTCAAATCCTGAAAATTACTTCCTTTTTTCCCGATCCTTTGAATAACGTTTTCTTTTTTATAATTTATTTTCAGATATGTGGGAGGAAAATTTCGAAAGATACAGTTCCGTTGGTTTGTCGATAACACATGGTTGCGTTATTCAACAAGTAAGCAGGGCGTATACTGTGCACCGTGTTTTTTATTCAGTGGTAAAGATGAAAACTCTAAACAAAAATCACTCGCAGCTGTCCCTCTTGTCGACCCCAGCAACATCGGAAAAACCATTCAAGCTCATGCAGTTTCAAAATTGCATAGAGAATCCTGCGAGGCTGCCCACAACTTTATTTCTGTGATGACCGGAGATAAAAAGGACATAGTATGCAGTTTATCGAGCGCACATAAACAGACCGTTGAGAAAAACCGGAAAATATTAGTTGCTATTGTGGACAGTTTGATATTGTGCGGAAGGCAGAATATTGCGATTCGTGGTCACCAAGACGACAGGAGTAACTTCGCCGCAATTCTTCAACTTCAGGCAAAGCACAATACAGTCTTACGGGACCACCTTGAGCACGGCAATCCCCGTACGAAATACACCTCGCCCGAAATCCAAAACGAATTAATCTCTATATGTGGCGAGATCATCAGTAAGACAATTGTGGAGGCATGCAACGCCGCTCCATTCTTTGGTTTTATTGCCGACGAGGCCACAGATGCGGCGACCATGGAGCAAATGGCTATTGTTCTTAGGTACATATAAACTTTACAGTATATTGAGTTCTTTTATTCATTATTGTGTAAGCTAAACAATATACATTTGTATATCTCTTAGTTTCAACACATGTATAGACATAACATAAATATGCGTTGAATATGGTCATAAACATACAAAATAACATATCATAAAATCATTAAATAAATCACGTAACGTCGCTTGTTTTTCATGTACATGTAAAGTAGCATTGTAACCATAAGTTATTAACGTTATTCTATCGCACTTTAACACTTTAGGCGCGTCAATGAAAAACAATAAGAAAAAAAACGTAATTTTTTATTGTTATATAGGTGCATCAGATATATTCGTGTATTAAATTTACATGAATTAAATATTCTATTTATCACATACCAAAGAAAAAAGACCGTTTGAAGTGAAAAAGAACCGTTTTTCATTGACGCGCCTATAGTACTGTATAACTCTAACATTTAACGCGTTTTAACGCTATGTTTATAAGAGAAAAATGACGTCACGTTAATAAAATATGCACGACACGGTTATGTGATAAGTACAGGATAATGAATGAGTGTAAGTTCAATACTGAATTTATTAAACAAGTTGAATAAAATCATATTATGCGAGCAAAATAATGTTTTATTCAAATACTGAATTTATTTTTATTGAAAAAAATATATTATGCAGTCTCGGGAGCAAAATATTATTTCATTCAACTCGTTCAATAAATACAGTAATGAACTTACACGAATATATACGAATATTTACTGCTTATACACAGTTGAACTAAATTGCAGGAATTAGATGATATATGCTATTATGATTGAATGAATATGCTATATATCAGGTTGAGAAACAAAAGCATAGCACACTTTTCCGTGTGATATATAGCATATTCGCTGAAAACAAATAAGTTTTCTTGATTTATGTTTTATAAGTAAAAATGATTCACTTCCAATCGATTCATTGTGGCGCTAGAAACAGAACCATGCACGTGCGAAGATGATATCATGCAGACGATTGACTGCCTGCTACGCGAACATTGTTCAAAGACTGCGTTGTAACTGATAACATCTTAGTTTTTAGTTCGTAACAATACGTAAATTGAGAAAAAAATATATAAAATAAGAAGAAAAGGCATTAATTTCGGTAAATTTAAAAATTGATGAAATGATACTAATGAAAACACTCGCTCGCCCAAAAATAAATAAATAAATAAAGCACCGTGTGAATGTTATACTGTGTCAAAAAGTGTGACTGATATTTTTTTATGGATAATTTAAAAGTATTTTATAATATTTCTTTTTTTTATCCACAGTGTTCTCGTATTAAAAATACTAAATTATATTGCAGTATTTACTTTTGTCGCTTTTAAGGTACTACGACAGTGCACGTTCCCGGGTCTACGAGGATTTCTTGTGCTATGCTAACTGTTCTGCTACCACCGGTGAGGCTCTCGCGAATGCCTTTCTTGAAAACCTTGAGACAGCTGGAGTGAATCTTCAGAAAATGCGAGGACAAGGGTATGACGGCGCTGCCAATATGGCCGGGCAATATCGAGGGGTACAGGCGCGTATTCGTCAGATATTTCCTAAGGCACTATATACACACTGCAAGGCCCATTCTCTCAACCTTGCTATTGTACATGCATCAAAGGAACCCCTTGCACGCAACATGATGGGCACGGTCCAAGAGATAGCATTTCTGTTCGATTATTCGGCCAAACGTCTCTTACAGTTCCAGGCATCCTTAGTTGAAATTGACCAAGAACGAGTTGAAATGGACAAGCGTAAGAAACTACAGACGCTCTGTGAAACTAGATGGGCAGCCAGGGCGGACGCGCTGTACACTTTCAAAACAGCGTACGGGACGGTCGTCAAATCACTAGAGGTTGAGCGAAAACAACGACACTAAGGCCGGAGCATACAGAGCTGTAATTACACAGTTCAGTTTTATAATAACTCTTGTAGCTATTGAACATGTATTGTCAGGGAGTGTGCAGCTATCCAAGCTTCTCCAGTCAACAACATGTGATTTAGTCCAAGCTGCCACCGAAGCAGAAGTTATTAAAACGCAGGTAACGGCTGAGAGAAATGATCCGTTGGTGTGGGATGCCTTATATGAGAAGGCAGTGAGCATGGCTGATTCTGTTGATGTCCAGCCTTCTTTGCCGCGTGGGGGTAGACAGAAAAATCGCCCTAATGCACCCGCTCAAACTCCATCAGAGTACTGGCGTATCAACATGTATTTGCCATTTGTGGATCACCTTGTCTCCAAGATAGAAAATCGCCTTCTTCAGAATAACGAGAGATACGTTATTCAGTTTCTCTTGCCAGACAGGGTAGTCAACTTGGACCGTCAACGGATGGATGAAATTTATTCTGTCGTACAAGAGGATTTGGTGGACGATCAGGAAACCTTTTTGCGTGAATGTGGACGCTGGAAGACACGGTGCGAATCTTTGCTGTTGCAGGCTCCGTCAACAATAGAAAATGTGCTACAGGATTTACCAACAGAGCTGTATCCAAATGTAAGCAGGTGCCTTCATTTGCTCCTGTCAATGCCAGTGTCTACGGCGAGCGCTGAACGGTCATTCAGCAGCATGAGAAGGCTGAAGACCTTTTTGCGCTCAACGATGACCACTGCTCGTCTCTCGGGCTTAGGACTTTTGCACATTCACAGAGACAGGGAGATTCAGGCTGACGTTGTGGTAGATACTTTTGCACGACGCAAAAATCGCCGTATGTCACTTTTATTTGCTGATTAAGTGACAGCGTCATTTATCTGCGTCTGTTAAATTCATGCAATGTATATCCTTATAACGTATAACGTTCATAAAAGACCTCCTTGAAATATTGTTATACGATCTAGCAGTTATATTGTACTCTAAATTACGGCGCATATTAACACTAGTCTTATTGCATTAAAATTTATTAATGATAGAATTGAATTTATTTTGACTTAAATTTCTTATTTTATGAACCTCAAATTGACATGGAAATGCATGATTATAGCATCTATAAATGGTGAAAATCCAGGAGCTTCCAGGGGTTTCGCCCCATGGACCCCTACCAGGGCTCTGCCCTGGACCTGCAAGGGGGCCTAAAGCGGCCCCCTTAACCCCCCGCTAAACTGTGCGTAACATCAATTGAGGTCTAGCTACGCCCCTGACATGTACCTCTCCTTTCACCGCCCTTTTGTTCACCCAAGGTTTTGGTTTGCTGCCTTCTGGGTGCCCTTCTTGGATGTGTCGGGGTGCTGCGTCCTGTGAACGTTGCCTTTGCCTTGTTGATCTTTATTCTTGTTTTTTATATAACTGACTTGAATAATAGAAAATACATATTGAACTTCTAACTGTAGTTGTAGTCTGCACAGACAAATCTGATAGATGTCGATTTTAATGATTTGTTAATTACGCTCACAGACCATTGTGTAGCTGCGGCAAAATTGTCGCCTGTGTCCCTTGCCGGCGGTGTACAATTAGTTGCAGCGTTTGAACATGAATTTGAGAGAAATAAGATTAAAACTACATAGTTACATAACTTCATTCTGGTAAAAACATTCATTAATCTTATACAAAGACGATCCTTAACTCATCTTGACAACTTTGCAACTTTAAAGTCAAAGCAGGTTTCTGATTCCTTGATCATGAAAATAATTGAATGGACGATTCTATGCCGAACAGACAAATATGTTGCGCAATTACTTATTTTATTTGTGTGTATATAACATTGCATGATATAAGTGGAAGAGCTTTATGATTTTAAATAAAAGAAAAATAGTATAAATAAGTTTGGTTAATTAAGATAGACGTCCGAAAAATATAAGGAAAAAATAAATAAACGCTGTAAAAGACAAATTCGGAAATAGGCAGTCAGACATTTTCAAATTAACGCCTTCACAACAGACGAAAAGGAAGTTTATTATCTTTGCATTTAAACGTTGACAAATTACACTAGCTAACGAAAAGTAGAAAAACAGTGAAACTAATTAATACCTAAGAACAAATAATATAATATTTAAACAGCTACATCCAGCCATTCGTATTCTCTTATTTACCTATTAAGCTTTTTGTCGTTGTAAGCGTCTAACTATTACAGAAACAGCGGCATGTGTCAGCTTTTTGTGATATAGTCTCAGTTTTAAATGGCTTCAATTGTCTTGGTGCTATTAAGTAAGTGTGCTATGTATACAGATACGGAACGTATCAGCTTGACATGACATTCAATGTCTGATATAAATAGGGAAAATATCCTTGCTAAAATTCAACGACAGATAGTACATTTTCGGTTAGCAATTATTATCTTTCTTGAGTTGTCGGTTCTTTCAATTTTAACTTTCATTTTATTTAGTACAATAAGAGATTTATTGCACCTTTATAATCCAGCAGGCTCGGGCTTGGACTGTGTCTTTCTGTTTCTGCTGATGTTAATGAATGCACGAAAACAATTGATTTGCAATACTCTTGCATAAAAGTAAAAATAATAAAACCTCCGGAAATATTTCTGATAGTGATAGTAACTAACTCTGACGTAAGGTCGTCAATTCTCACTAAGTATTACCTTTTTCGGGACTTTTTTAATACCAAACTTGTTTACAAGACTTTTATGACACTTATTGACGTACGTTTGCTATCACATGTGACAATTTTTTCCCAGAGTTATCCGAGAAATATACAGGATATTCCCCTTTTTATTTTATTTTCTTGTTTGTTGTTGTCAACGATAATGATGCACATTATCAATTACCTTCCACGTGAATGGCATTTATTGTGCAAAGAAAAACCTTAGAAATAATTAACTCTGAACATTCTAATGGAAGAAAGTCTAATTTACAAAGCTTACTCACGCTTCTTGCCATTCTGCCTTGAACTAAGAAATATAAAACCATAAAAAAAGTTAAATTAATGAAAACTGTTTTTCCTGTTGGCATTAGGCGTTCAGAAAGGGGTTTGGTTGTTTATTAAGGTCAGTCACGACAATATCTCAGTAATTATCCATTAACACAAATGAACCAATATGTTTATGCTGCTGTAAAAGTATATAAAAAAACGTTTACACTAAAACGGACATGAATAGTCCGGAAATGTGTACCTTTCAATGAAGGTCTTTAATAAAAACATGTGTGGGAGTTTGTCTGTTATGTTAAATTAGCGATGAAGGACGAAATGTCAACATTAATTTAAATTGTCCAAATTGTGGATATTAACTGCGCATACTCTCCTGATCACCATACAGTTTGTGAAAAGTTATATAGATTCAAAAATATCTTTATGTAGTACTCGTTCGGCTTCTTTATGTTTGTATTCAAAACAAAGATGAAATGTTTTAAATGTTAAACATTAAACTTTCGCAAATTACTTCTGATATAAACAGTTACTAGCCATGATGTATGGTAATAAAGGCTTATAAGAAACTAAATGAATTTTTATATGTCTTATACTTTACTTACATTTATTTATTGAATGATACATAATTATGATTAAATGTATTAATCGTTATAGTACTATTGAAATAAACATTTGCACAATAGGAAGTTTCTTTCTTACTTTATAGGATAATATCTGAAGGAATGGGGACATAAAAAATACAAAATAAATGTGTAACATGTTTAAAAACATTCATTATCTATCCGTTTAAGGTCTGTAATATGTAATAACAATTGTCCCATAAGCATTTAAAACATTGATATAAACAATAGAAATGTATCAATCCATTGGAAATTCTTATAAATTGTTGCTGGAAAAAATAATGATAAAGTTTTAGGTGACGGATTTAGAATGAACATTTTTATGATGAAAAATGATTTTTTTTTCTAGAACATTATTATTATATTATTTTTTTGCTATATGAATGTATTTAATATCGTATTATGTATCTAACACTTGCCAACAATTTCCATGTATAATTATTTTGTTGTTTGTTGTCATGTTAAATACTTAATACTATCAACGTAATTATTCATTTTCTTAAAGACCTTTCATTATAGATTAAATATCACTTTAAGTAATGCAATCGCAAAATAACAGTTAAAAACAAATTATTTAATAATAATGATATATTTTAATCAATTGTATAAAGTGTATTGTTTAGGAGTTTTCTACAATCCTGGGAGAGCATGCAACTGTCAACCTTGATCAATGGCTCATCCCGTTTCCCTTGAATTATCATTATATTTTCCAAAATGACCACAAGATGAAAACGCTTAACAAGGAAAAAGATCAATAGTCAGTTTATTTCTGAATATAATCGTTTATTATTCCTTGCATTTTTTTCCATATTTTAAATGCTCACCTTGATCATTGGATGAATTTCAAATTTATATTTTTGTTTTATGTTTGTTGGTTTGTTCTTTTCTCTTTTTTTAATTATTTTGTTTTGTATTTACTTCAGAGCAGCTCGTTTAAAGAATCTTAATGATTTAATCTGCACACACAGCAGAATGTTGCATACAAGTTTCGTTTCCATTTACGAATAAATCTGTTACTAAAAGCGTTTTCCAAACATGTCATTTGAACTCGTGTTATTTCATTCAATTTATTTTACCAAGAAACATTAAACATAATTTCATTATAACAAGACGATGTTCAATGTATAAATTTGTATATAAAATTATGCTCTGTTCTGTTCTATGATATACAGTATGGTGGTTTTCTTGTTTTTTATTTCATATCCAGAAACAGTTTATTGATTGTCCCTAACAATTCACATTCTATGTACCAACCGTTTTATCTTGTCTAAATTCCATATTAAATATATCAAATCATCATTTTCACTGAAAATTGACCGACATCTACTTATGTCCTATGTAGTAAAACACCGTTGAATGAATTTTTCCTATGTGGATTTTCAATAACTTGGTAGGATTTGGACATATGTACACCCTGAACGCTGACTTGTTGACCAGCGCTTGCTACGGTCAACGCGTTAACAGTATTACAACTACTCGGCATATCTCTCTGTGTGGACAGTGCTATTGTTTCACCCTCAAGCACAATAGCATAAACGAACATAGCATTATCTTGATTACAAATATGTGCGCTAAATTGATATAGACCAGTGACCGGAGTGGTAAAGATGCCAGTCTTTCGATCGTATCCATTTCCTTCGTTCAGTGGAACCGTCTGATAAACGATGACTTGACCAACTTCCAAGTTTGTATGAAGGGGATTATAAACATGGAATGCAACCAGTGGTACGTGGACACTTTCTGAAAATATTAAAGGCTCCTTAAAAGTACCGGGTATATCTATTTTTCAACTGGTATCGATCAGCTTGAAAAGTAACATGTTTTATAACATAAACCAAAACTTCGCTAAAGACGAAATGTTTCAAAGTATGCAGTTTCAAATCTGTTAACAACCAGATATTAAAAGGTTTAAAACTACAATCATGTGTAAAAAGGTGTAATTTTTGGTTTTCTATTACGATAACATAGCTTGCACTAATTCAGCGTTTATTATACATTTGTTAAGAAAACAAATACATTATTCTAATGTATCCAGAAACCATAAAACTACTTTGTCAATTTGATAGATAAATAACTAGTATTTATTACTTCAAAAAAGTACATTAAGTGTTACCTTTTATATCAGAGAACTCACCTATATTTTGATATTTGCCCTCTAAACTTCGTGTAAGATCCCGCAATTGTTCTATATCCTTTTCAGTTTGTTCTACTTTTAATTCAAGCATAGCAACTTTCTCCAGTTTTCTTTGCTCAGGGTTCGTGTAATTTGAAAATGAATAGCTGACAACAATGGCTATTACAAACTGAAGTAAACAAAACAAGAATGCCTTTAGATCACTTTCAAAAATAAAAGCCATTGCAGTTTTTACTATATTTCACGCCACCGGATATAAATGATATTTCGTTATGTGTGTGTTTACAATGTACTATTATGATCCTGGTTTATATGATTGATTTTTACAATATTAAAGTAAATGTGAACTAGAATCAATGAAATTTTATTGTTAAATATTTGTATATTGTATACCTCTTGCGGGTTAAACTCAACTCCTAGTGTGTCACTTGGTTATACTACATTTTAAATAGTCAAGGTTTAATCTTTTGTAGTTGGCTTAACGGTATAAAGGACAGCAATTTTAGTTATACTGCGGTAAAGAAGAAACTTGATTATAGGTAATAGGCGAGGTGTTCCGAATGAATACCAGCCAGGATTTAATCCAATAAGTAAAATAATTGAGTGTAAAAAGGGTTCCTTTTGTTTACATTTGTACAATTTTGTTTATGCATGTATATATGCGTGCATGCGGGGCGTTTAAGTGTGTGTGCGTGCGTGAGTTTGTCTGTTATGTTAAATTAGCGATGAAGGACGAAATGTCAACATTAATTTAAATTGTCCAGGGGTATATACTGCGCATACTCTCCTGATCACCATCTGTCTATGAATAGTTAAATAGATTCCAAAAGTTCTTAACGTCGTCATCTATCAAAAGTACTCGTTTTTAGGCCTCTCTGGCTTGTTTATATTTGTATTTGAAACAAAGATGAAATGTCTTAAATGGTAAACATTAAACTTTCGGAAATTACTTCTGATATAAACATTTACTAGCCATGCCGTTAGGTAATCAAGGCTTATAAGAATCTAAATGAATCTTTTACAGGTCTTATACTTTACTTGTTTTCAAGAATTGAATGGCACTTATTTACGTACATTAGCTTTTACATGTAACAATATTTTCCGAGTATTATCTGAGAAACATTAAGGATGTTCCCCTTTTTTTTTTTCTTGTTTATTTATGCCATCGGTAATGTTGTACAATTGCAAATACCTTCTACAGGGATGGCATTAATTGTGCAAAGAATAACTTGAGAATCATTTACTGAAAGTTCTAATGGCGGAAAGTTTAGTTTACTAGGTCTAATCACGCTTTGAACTCATCCGTCTTGAACAAAGTTATGTAGAACAATTAAAAAAGTTTATTTGGAAAACAAACTTTGTTTCCTCATGGGCTTTTAGCATTCAGGAAAAGAGTTTAGTTGATATCTAAAGTCAGACAGGAAGATATAAACCATCTGTCAGTAAATGTTAACAGAAAAAAACCTACAATTACCAACCTAACATTTTCATTTCAATAAAAGGTGTTTTTAACATTGGCAATTGTAATCATATAAGGTAGACTTTGGTGGAAAAAGTTGATGTTATATCAATATCAACCCCTCTAGGAATGATAGAACAAATCATTTACCCGACACAAATGATGTAAACCAAGGCCAGAACCAAGTCTTGACAATCTTGTCAATGGTGGATATTATGTTTCTTCATCCGCATTGGAATAGGATATTTTAATCCGAATGAATTACATCTTACAATTAAAACCCGGCACAGCATGCGGTTTGCGCGTAAGGGTCATTTGATAATGTCAGGAAGTGGAAAAGTTATGTTTCTATGATTGTGACATTACGGATTGCTACCCTCTGATGTTACACAAAGCTGTATGGTTAATAAATAACTAATAAATAACGTAAGGTAAACAAAATTGCTTTACTTTTGATTGACATGTATTACATTCGCATGCTTATGGAATTTGTTTATTTAATTGCACGTAAGGACTCTTAAAAGAACACATTTTATACAGATGTCATGTTTGGAGGTAAAATTAATATAAATTGCTTTAAATCTAGAAGTTTCGTGACATTTTGTTCAGATATGTTCAGTCTTCTGTCTACAGTTTTATGTTTTTGCATATTGAGCATTTATGATATTGGGATGTTGTATTACTTGTTAAGAAGAAAAATATTTTATTTCATCGAGTAGGGAAATAATTAAAAGTATGAAATTAACCCTTTCGTACTGCAATATGTATTTTCTGATCACATGATAGTTTCTTGAAAGAAAATTGACAAGAACTGAGTCGGATGACATTCCGAGTGCTTCCGTCTATTTAATGTAAAAATCCATGTTACATATGCATTAAAAGCAACCATTGAAATTCGTCTGCAGTTTTAGAGAATCTTATATACGCAGGCATTCGTCCATTAATTCAAATGCAAAAATCTGCACGCAAAGCAAAATGTTAGAAATGTTTAGCTTCGACAGCGTTGCAGAATGAACTACTGTGGCAGTTTTTGGATATCGTGTTGAATCAACTTGAAATCAATTAAATTTACAATTATTTCGTCATCTTGATAGATAATTATATTGTTACAAGATAGTCATTTGAAATGCGCGACAGAAACATGTCTCAAAGTTTGTTTTTAAAGATAGTTGAACTAAAAAGGGCGCAATAGCTCTTTCAAGAAACAAGGTAACTTAAAAATGACAGTGGTCAGAGGGTGTATACCAATATTTTACACATTTTTTTCAACGAAGTGTTATTTTAAATGTAACTATCGCAAGAGAAAATATATTTCTAAAAGGTTTCATTTAATTCTTATCAAGATCTGTGTAAACCTTATTTAGCATCAGCTAAGGTTTTTTTCGCTCTGTCACACAACTTTCATAGGGACCAAAATTAATGAAATACACTCAAATAATGTTTACTTGTGTACATGTTCTCAACATATAATTATACAAAATAAATTCGGATATCAAATGCTGATGAATGGTTACATATGTCGGTTTGATTTCTCGCTAGTTATCTTCAAAGAAAGCGTAATAAAATTGCTCACTCGTACTTCTAATAACGATTTACGGACAACGTCACGAGCATAAGGAATCTTTGGAATCGAGGAATCAAGAAATGCGGTCAAATAATGACTATAAGATATATAGAAAGTATTTCTAAAAGTTTCTATAACAAGCAAACATATTATGTTAATCGTATAATTAAAAAGGGGACTTAATAACTCTAACTTTCAGTACTTATATTACTTGTTTTTAAAAGAAAATACATGAGCATAGCCATGTGACGGCTTGTTTACGAAGGCGATCGCTTGAAGAAAAGCTGAAATTCCAAGATTTCAGTAAATCAACAATCAATAGCAACAACAATAACAAAGATGACGACAAAAATCTACAACAACATTAACATTATGATGACGATGATGATTATGATGATGATGATATTTGACGATTTTTATTTTATATATATGTATGTATATATATATTAAATGTGGTATTGCACTACTACTTTAATCTTTGGTAAATCTTATATCTTAATGTATCTGTGAAGATTTCAAGAAATTCAAAAGTAAATTTTTGGGTTTTTTTTATTTATTAGCTCAGAGAAGATATAGAGGATATTTGTTTGTTTCAGTGTAAGATCGAAAAATATTTCACCGAGTGAACACCAGATGCAATATTTTCCACGAGTGGCGTAGCCACGAGTGAAAATATAATAGCTGGGGTTCACGAGTGAAATATTATTTGATCTTACATGTAAAACAAACAAATTTTCTGTTTATTTCATGATTTTTTAACGATTTTTACACCATTTTACTGATTTTTGCCGCGTAACGTCATGCTCTTATCTTCATGACGTCATCAAATAATGACGTCACAATGTTGAAGCAAAATATAATTCCATGATTATTTTTAGATTTTAGATGTATTTCAGCACAACGTTCGTAAATATTTACGAACTACAGTTATCACGTACATTTTTTATTATGATTGACTACATTTCCGCTGAAAAAAAACATTCATTAATGATAAATATTTTATTTTTACGCCAAATATAGTTCGGCTACTGTGAAATTATATTTGGTAATCATTACTGTGAAATTATCAGAATATAATTAACCGTTATAATTCAGTAATCTACTGCAAAACATGTAATAAAAAGATTATATTTTTTTTAAAAAGATCAATTTTGCCACGCTTTCAATAAAATTTGTTTTGTACAACACTTCACAATATGTGAATGGTATGATTGTAACGTTCTTGTTTCATCCGGTAGTGTTTAACATTGGACAGTGTCAGTGTTCGGTGGAGAGACATAATCTTTGCGGTTATTGGTCTTTAATCTGTACAAATGCACTATTGTCAAGGAGCATGTCACTAAACGTTAGAGGTTGGATTCCTCTTCTGCCTATTGCGACGCAGAACAATTATAGTGCATCTTTCTGTATATTTTTCATTTAATTTGTCTCTCCTTTTTGACAGCTTAATTTATACTAACAATGCTGTTTGTCTAAAAGTCTAGCTATGCATCTTAAACTGTCTTGACGGTTCTGTCTGCTCAAACTTATCTCTTATATTTAAAGTGGTTTTTTGTTGTTTTGTGAATTCATTTGGGAAACTGCATATCGTCTGTCTGGCTGCATTTAGCAAGAATGCACAGAAACCTTTTACAATAAGTCGTGTTGTGTGAAGATGTAAAGAGAATTCATTGTTTTGCGCCAAATTAATTGTAAGCGCCTTAGTAATCCAGTCCAGGAATGGTGACAATAAACCTTATAGACTCAAAGAAGAGTACTTGCCATGATATAATTGACATTTTATACCTTTTTCTAACATTTCAGGTGAATGTCTGATAACATTTTTTTCTATAATAACATAATGAACGTTCATATACCATATACATTGTCAATGAAAAAATACAGTATTTCTTCATCTAAAACATCTCTTGTTACCTACGCTTACTTTTATTTCCTGTAATGGCAAATAATTAGGAAGAATTTGGGCACTTTTATCAAGTCATGTGGTGTTAAATTATGCTTACTTGTCAATAAACGGATTAGATCATCACTTTAAAGTTTTAGCATTTGTACGTAGGCAAGTTTGACTAGCAATACATAGTTATGATAAATCATTAAAATAGAATAATAAGGTTCATTTAATAGTACTATTATGAATGACTATGACTTAAATTTGCCATGGGATTGAGGATATTCCCATGGGATATATAAGTGTATGCAGAATGACCTAAATTTGCCATGGGATTGAGGATATTCCCATGGGATATATAAGTGTATGCAGAATGACCTAAATTTGCCATGGGATTGAGGATATTCCCATGGGATATATAAGTGTATGCAGAATGACCTAAATTTGCCATGGGATTGAGGATATTCCCATGGGATTTACGTGTGCATACAGAGACTTTGCCAAAATAAAAGAAACATTCCATGAATCTTTTTAACCAATAATGCTGTGGTTTTTTTCCACGTATACATAACATTGTGTGAGATAAAAAGATAAATATGTGGTTTATAAAAGTAAACAAAAACTCCTCGAAAAAGAGGGGTTTAACCCCTCCAAACGTTGGAGATTGAAAAGTTTTTGTAGAAGATAATTATTAACTAACTGTTTCCTGAATGATTTTAAGATATTTAAAAAGAGACAGTTTTTTTGTTCTTGTTCTTTTTTTCTAATCTTCTAATCTAAAAATACATGTTATTTATCTCTATAACAGCTACAGAATCCTAAGTAGTATGTAATAAAACTGACATGATTAAGAGAGATAAATAAACAATCAAACTGAATGCATGACACTATCGTTTTTTTCTTTCTTTTTTCTTCTTTTTTTGTATCATAAGATAACACTTTTTGTTTGTGATTTCGATTTTTAAAAACACACACACACACACAAACGTAAATGGATGAATTCATTGACACTGTCGAAAATTTTAATCATATTTTAGGTTATTGTATTACATAGTATTTACAGCACCACATTGTGCAACATTTTTCGAAAAATAAATTTAAACATATTCACAAGTTTTTAATCAACAATTTACAAAATTTAATCATTTTACGGATAGCGCTGATGTAAAGCAATTTTGACTTATTGAAAATCAGTTTTTTCATGTCCTACTTTCATGACAAAATAATAATGACCTGGTGAGTGATATGTATAAGGAATTGATAAAATTAGTTCATTATTTAAGCTTATATACATGTCTATTTGCTTTTTATACTGCAACACTCACACACAGATGTGACTTCCAATGTTTCTTTATGTATGGTATGATGATTAAAATATGTTGAGATATTAAAATATAAATCTGCATTGTGCCATATGCTACACTAGTTTCCCAATTTCACAATATTCATTGTCTTTGGTTTGTTTGTTTCGGGTTTTTTTTTAGGTTGTTTGATTGTTTTGTTGTTTTGCTATTAATTCGTATTCTTTTTTTTGTTGTTGTTGTTGTTTAGTGTGTTGTTTTGTTGTTGTTGTTTAGTGTGTTGTTTTTTTGTTTGTTTCTGTTTTTTGGGGGGGAGGGGTAAGGGGGTCGGTTTGTTTCTTTAAGAATACATACATAGCTTTATAACTCTATATTTATATTGAGTATTCCAGTTTCGCTATCAGTGCTTTAAGAATTTTTAAACGGGTATTAAAACAGTTTTAATTCAAGCATGTTATCGTCACATTATATAAATGACGTATTAAACAGTATGTATTTAAATACCTGTGTTACCGGGAGTCAGTCATCATTATTAAAACATTAGCATTACACAATACGTGACAATGGTCGAAAACTAGGGCACATATAAATACCCAACGTTAGTCAGCTGTTGAACATTGCTATGTTCATATTGATATCGGCTGATTGTAAATCTCGCAGTTGTGTGTTTATCACGTAGTTGCGTGTGTTTATTTATTTCAAGATATCAAACTCACGTGTAAAACATAAGCAACGACATTGAAAGATTATTCATTCTTAAGTTGCTGACGTTTGTGTACTGATTTCACCTAGCGTCGAGTGTGGAACAGTCCGTTCATGCAAATGGAAGGGATTTTAAAATAAAAATACAAATATTGAACTACTGGTAGTGAAGAGAGAGTCCGTTGGTTATTAATTAAAGGGCCTATAACTAGTGGCAACTGCTTATCACATTCGTTTTCAGCAATGTTTCTTCTTACTTGAATAATAAGCTGGTTTCCTTTCAGGGGTGGGGTAGTTTTAATTAGTCAAATAATAGGAAAACAAAACAAACAAAGCAATCTAAATCTTGTTAACAAGAACATGCAACAGTTGTCCAGACAGTTTATTTTCTTTCTTTTCTTTATCTTGTTGTTGTTGTTGTTGTTGCTGCTGTTGCTGTTGCTCCTGCTTCAACTACTACTACTACTACTGCTACTGCTACTGCTTCTTCTGCTGCTGCTGCTGCTACTGCTACTGCTACTGATGCTGCTGCTGCAATTGCTGATGTTATTGTTGTTGTTGTTGTTGTTGTTGTTGTTGTTGATTTTATCTTCTTTTTTGTTAAACAAGGAAGAAAACAATCTGCAAAATCAATTCATAGGACGTGCGTTAGACATAATAAAATCATTGCATGATTACAGTGCGTGTAGTATACCATCTGTCGGTATAAAATGATTGTATCGACTATATTTTCCAGGCAACTTTGAAACATTAAAATATTGAACATAGTGCGTGTTACATCGGTTATTAGATTGTTTTAGAAGGTAAAGTGATTGGTCGGTACTATGTAAAAATGACACAGTTTTTAAATAACCTTATTGGCAAAATAATTGTAAAATATATACTACGTTTTAGACCTGAAAAACAGTAGTATGAAATGCGTAAAGAAATCGATTAAATTATTAAACAAATATACAAATTTAGATATTATGTTAAAATACAAGAATAACTCAATCGCACGTTCAACTGTAAAGTTTAAGCATTCAATTCAAGGGCATTACCCGTTTGATAACATTCAATATATAGGACATTTTGGACAAAAACTGGATGAAACCACACTGTCGGAGTTTGACTCATGATTACAAACTTTTCAGAAATATTTTCTGTTCATTCATCGACAAATTTAAGACAACTAATATAATATAATTTGAATGGTTCATACAAGGTAAATTCTTAAATTGACTTACCAGTGATGACATATACACAAAAACGGGACGGCGGGTACGGTTGGGTCATCTGTTTTTCTTTCTTTATCGCGGAAGTTTTAGTGGATGGTATACGGTTTTCATATGGACTTTATTACGTGGAGTTTCTTGCAGAATTTAAGGAAAGCAAAGCCGAAACAGCGTGGATAGGAGGAACATTGGTAGGAGTCTACAACCTGTGTGGTAAGATAACAGAAAATATTATTATCGGATATGTATGTTACATATGTTGTTGTTGTTGATGTTGCTGCTGCTGATGCTGCTGCTGCTGGTGATGATGATGATGATGGTGGTGATTGTGATGATGTTGATGATGGTGATTGTTATGATGATGATGATAATTATGGTTGTTTCATTCATTTTAATGATGTTTTGTTGTTATCGATATTCATTATTTTTGTTGTTGTTTGTTTGTGCGGATAGCAATATTTGTCTTTAGATTTTGTTGTAATTTCTGCAGATTTTGATGTTGTTGTTGTTTTGCTGCAAATAATACTGTTAATCTTCTAGAGTTTGTTGTTATTTTTGTTGATTTTTTATTATCAATGTTTTGTTTTTGCTGCTTTGATAATTCTGTGGATAATAATGTTGTTGTTGTTGTTGTTGTTGATGATGATGATGATGATGATGATGATGATGATGATGATGATGATGATGATGAAATAGTTTATGTTATTTTTTTTTATTATTTCATTATAATCATTTTAATAAGAGCGGTATTAATAAGAACAATTAATTTTTCACTCGACCTGAAATGAACTTTTAAATTAAATAATCTTTATGATAACAGAATTTATGTCAAGGATATTAACTATTTTTGCGGACATATATGGCCTAAGTTAAAGAACTTTAAACCATTTTCAACTGAACTTGTTATTGACTTTCAATAATACATGATTGTATAAATTACCTTGAAACAATCATATACCGGTTATTGATATATCATATTTCTCTAGCTGTCCTGATTTCTAAACTCAAAGCCTTTACGATCGATTTTAAAATAAATGAGAAAATCAATATTCATATGCACAAACTCATTCAAAATAGATCATCATTTTCGCTCCATATTTCTTCACTATGAATGGTAGTGCAACGACAGTTAGGGAGATTATACATGTATATATGTATACAGTCTGCAACGAGATACTTTAATTAGTTTATCTATAGGCCTATATATATACGTTTTATGGTAAATCCTTTGAAACCGAATAATTATGCTGAAATGTTTTAATTTGTCGTTTGTCGAAAAGCTCTAATTGTTTATATACAATATCGTACCATAGTTAAAGCACCTGGTGGTTATGATTTCAATATGTAATCAGATATGGTATCTTATTTTGATTATTTATCATATTTTCTTTGTAGTAATGATCTATTAACAATGTAAGTAAACAACGCGCCGTGAAGGTATTACATCTATTCAAGGTGTAATTGTATGTATTTGAATATTTAAAGGCCCATTATTCCCCAAAAAGGTTTTAATTTTCATTTCATAATAACAGTTTTTCTTTTTTAATTTGGTGCCTGGTTGTAGTTAAGTTAACTATCCACCTGAACCATTTTTTGCTTGTATTGTTATTTGGCAATTAGTACAGATATAGTGATTTAGTATCTTGTATGGAAGTCAAAATATTACTTTGTTTACATTTTGCTACCTATATGACAAATAATTATACATTAAGAGCTACTTTCTCTCAAGGAAAATACATTTTGCATGCTCTAAAACCATTATTTAAACTTAACAAAATATTCGTTTCTTAAGCATAATGTGCCTTTAAACCCTAAACAAATAGTGGCGTCATGGCAAAGTGGTTAAAGTGCAAGTCTGGTATTCAAAGGATTGCTGGTCGCTTAAGTTCAAACCCCGTCAGAGGCCGGCCTTTGTTTCATTGAGCATAAAAGTTAGCACTCATTGTTTTCCACTAGTTTGTTCGAGAGTGTGTCTATAAGCTTATATCTTAGCGAGTTACAATCAATCATGTAGAAACAATCAAAGCACAGAAGGCGCTGAATTTGTTTGGGTCTCAGAATGTCAGAAAGGTGAAGGTATAAACCATTTTTTGTATAGTGCCATCAATGCTTTACAATGATTTTACTGTAGTAAATTGGCTATAAAACTTATTGTAACACTGATATTCAATTCAACGTTTATTTGACTTAAAAGATTAAAAAAAATAAGTTGCTTCAACTAAGATTTGAAATCCAGACCTCTCGATTTCTACCCATTTGCCACTGACAAATTGAAAATTGACAATCTTTTCGCAGTGATCTCCCCTGAATTTATCGGCGTTAGTGTACATATAAAGGGAAGTAACTGCTTCAAAAAAGCGGACCACTTTCGGCATTTTCAATTAACAGGGTCTGAAATTTCGCTACCATTATATGTTTGGTCTGACGACCATTACAAATACAAAACAAATCACTAAGTGACTATTTATAAATGAAACAGTGATGCAGCTTCACTATGTAGGACACATAAGTAACAGTGGAAACAGTCTGACTACTCATTCAAGAATCGCAAGTTCGATTCAAACTTGTCGTACTCAAAAACTACTTGAGAATCTTATGGGTGAGACTTTTTAAACAAAGGTCAAATGTAAAAGCCCTAAATGCGTTGCAACAACCAGTTCAACTTTATCTCCTCCATAAAATGGAAATACTGACAGTCCTCTATAGGGAGCTACAGTAACGTCTACTTGTATACATGTATATAGATAATAAGTATGAGGCAGAACAAAGGACTACATCCGTATTTAAATTGAATTGTGTTTTTTTTTCTTGACAGGGGATGTAATTAATTTAAAAAAATGAATTTTATTTATATTATCTACGCCTGGTAGTCATTTATATCATCTACATGTATTATTATTTCGTCCCTATATCATAATATATAGTATTAATTATAGTAATTTGAGAAATCAATGATTGATATAAACAAATAAACCAATAATGAATAACATTGACAAAGAAAGGACGTTAAGTGGATGAAAATCATGCAACGCAAGGAAAGAAATCCGTGTACACTTTCTAAAATCGTTTTCTTAAAATAGAATATCTACGTCTTGGTAAATGGTCCTCATGTTCAACACGGTGCCTTATTTAGATACATTTTATGTATTTCAGGACCAGTGTTTGCTTTTATTGTAAATAAACTTGGTTACAGAAAAGCGTCATTTATTGGTACACTTATAGGAAGTGTAGGACTTATTGCCAGTAGCTTTACAACAGAACTGTACCAACTTTACTTCAGCTATGGAGCATTGCAAGGTAATACAATTCAATTGTAGGTTCGATCTATCTATGTACTACCTGATAAGTGCCATATTTTGTATAACGTTATCTATGCCAAATTTGGAAATTATGGAGTTCTTCATGCACGCTTTTATTGACACTTCTTAATAATCTGTTATTTCTTCATTTACGCATGGCCTATTTATAACTCCTGAGCTAATACTTAATCATTATACATGACTTGTATTTCTTCATTATGCCTGACTTCGTAGTTCTTCAGTTACGCCTGACGTGTTTCTTCTTTATTTACGCCCCTCATGGTACTTCTTAATTTACAACTGACCTGGTACTTCTTCATTTACAACTGGCATGGTACTTCTTTCTTTTTAACTGACCTGGTACTTATTCCTTATCAACTGGCCTGGCACTTTTTCCTTTTAACTGACCTGGTACTTTTTCTTTGCTCTTTTTAAAACGTCTTTTTAAAACGTCTTCTGTATTGTGTACTTCTTCAAGTACGCCTGACCTAGTATTTTATTTCATTTATGTTGTCTATGCTGCTATTTTACATTTGCTCCTTAACTACGTTATTTGTACCAGATCTAGACCTGGTTTTTCGTTATTTGTAAAGGATTTGATATTTTTGAATTGTTACGTTTTTGGTCGGCAATTCTTCACTTGATATAGCTGTCACTTCTGCATTTACAATGTATTGTTCCACTTTAAATGATGTATATTTGCTGTCTATCTATTTGCACCGTTTCTGACACAATTTCATTTGCTCATATTTAGTACTCGTATTTGCAGGATATACGGTTCTACTTCTGTTGGCCAATATCTAGTTCTACTTTATTTGCACACAAAATGTAGTTACGCTGTTTGTGCGTCAGTTTTGTTGCTTCTTTATTTTCACCATATCTTCCGCAAATGCAATGGCGCTATCTTCGGCGCTTCTTCATTTTTCTGTTACCATTCATTTGCGCTATATAATAAATTTATACTTTTATACAACTGCATTTGTTTGGTTTGACTTTATTAGATCATAATGAAACATCGTTCTAATATTTTCTTTCCATATTTTCAGGGTTTGGATATGGCTTGGTGTTTTTATCCGGGACTGTCGCTGTCAGTCGTTACTTTTTGAAGAAAAGAGCACGTTCAATTGCGATTTCGTATTGCGGTGGTGGAGTGGGATTATTTGCTATTCCGCCATTAACACGATTTTTAATGGAGACTTATTCATGGCGGGGAAGTTTATTTATTTTAGCGGGTCTGATGCTAAATTGCTGTGTATTGACAGCATTGTACAGGCCATTTCATTTAACCGAGGAAATCGAAATAGATGTACTTGATGGAGATGATCTTGAAAAAACGTCAGTTAATGGTGGTCCGTTTAAATCAACTAACGGAAGTATTCACTCAGAAATTCAAGCCAATCCGTTACTGAGCAACGGTGATAGGTCAGCCGATAATAAAACCGTCAGAAGGCAGAAACTGTTAGGTCCATCGTTGCCAAGAAGTTTTGCTGAAATGAGAATGGAGCAAATGAAGAATTTAAAGGATAACAGTGACGCTGTTTCACAACGAAGTATCACAAAGGCTATGTTAAGCCAAAGTATCTTCGGAAGCCATGCTTCTTTTGACTACATAATAGACAAACGTCATAAACGTTCTCAAATGAATATACCGCAACACGATACAGATGACACTGACACGGACTACGATGACGACCAGCGAAAACATTTTAGCATTTCATTTATAGAGCTAATGTTTCCAAAACAACTTGTTACGAATACGAATTTTATAATCATGATGACCGCCACGTTTTTAGTTGGTGTTCCATCGTTTATTCCATATAGTATGTTACCGGACTATGCTATATCTGCAGGTACAGCGGAATCGGACGTGGCATGGCTTTTATCTGCTATGGGAATTGGAGGTAATAAAAATTTTCCATACTTTTGCCTTGGATAAAATCATTTGACCTCAGAATGGGACCTAAGAGGCTCAGATTGTGGCGCATATTTCTGATCATGTAACGGCTTTTAAAAATGTTTCCTCTACATTTAAATATCTTTTTGTATTATCCGAGTGAACGGCCTCAAAGAATATAAAATTGATTTAACATGATCTGTTACTTTTATAATTGACCAATTCTGACGGTATTATTTTTCAATATACCATAACTTTGACCCATTTTTAAGCAAGCAAATTATATCAAATTAAGATTTTATTTTTAAAGACCAACCAGTCAAATGATATGAAAAAGATATTTAAAGGCCGAACAAACACTATGTAAAGTCGGTACAAGTTCGGAAATATGCGATTGCGCTTGGGAGCCGCTATGGTTAAAATGAGGATATTGTGTGCTTTTCTTTATTTAATAAAAAGTAAACATATTTGATATTAATTATCTAATTGTATTAATTTGATAAATACATTACAGGTTTGATCATTTGGTTATATAGGAACACAAATATAGTCTATTTATTCTTTTCACAAGATATTTCATTGGTGATTTGGTCAGGTTTTAATGGGTTTGAAATAATTGCTTTCATCGGTTGAAGGCAGGGCGGTGAACAAGTGGTTAGTTGACTACCTCTCAGCCCAAGGATTTGGGTTCGAGCTCGTGCTGGGATCACGACCATCGTACACATTGCATTAAAAAAAGAAAATATAAATGCACACCGACCTTGACATAGTTTGTCTGTATGCCTGATATTATGTCATTGTTAATCATAGGGCAACTACTAGCCTGTATTTCTCATATAAACAATATATTTCCTCGTATGACACCAGTACTGGTTAGTTTCAGGAATGTTCGTAATAAACTAAATTTGAAATTTCTCGACATTCGTACTGAAATAAATAATAATAAAACGAAAAAGACTGGTCTGGATCCATGCTGGTCGCAAACCCATTGTGTTGGTTTTGTCGTGACCCGGCTCATATATGGGAAATGTATATATATTTCAGGGACATTGGGTCGTATAGGTGCTGGGGTACTCTCCGATATGACATGTGTTCACAAGCTAACACTGAACAGTATCTGTTATATAATGACAGGGGCTTCCCTCTTAGTGGCCGCGGTTTTCCCAAGTTTTGAAGTTCTCATGCCTTGTTCTGTGATATTTGGAATCTTCTTTGGTAAGGCATGTTTAGTTTACATATGATTTTCTTTCAATGTTTATTTGTACACAGTAGAAACAAAAGAGACTTATCATTTCCAATTATATATAGTGCAAATTGGGGGGTTTTGTTTTTATCTTTATAATTATGAGAACCCTCTACACAAGTATAAGTGATCTATTTATCCTTAATTTAAATATCATAAGGTCAGCATCAAGTTTTCTTTTTAAGTATCCTAAGTTAAAATAGGACCTAGCTAGTTACAAGGTTTCTTCAATAAACATATATAGCTCTTTAGTCCGAATAGAGATAATGTTATTCATAATAATTATTTAAGATAAGATTCTTTAAATATTCAGTAGACAAACATTATAATTTATTAATTATGTTGTCAATTAGTTAAAGAATCGACTTATTTCGTTGGTCATGAATAAATCTATTATATAACAAACATATTTGTAACAGTTCTTTTTAGGTTTTTGTAAGAATAAACACTTCATGAGTTAAAATATGAATGAATCAACACAATTTAGTTGTTCTCGAATTAGAATATTAAAGAATCAACACAATTTCGTTATCCGTGAGTAAGATTATTACAGAATCAACACAATTTCGTTATCGATGGGTTAGATTATTAAAGAATCAACACAATTTCGTTATCGATGGGTTAGATTATTACAGAATCAACACAATTTCGTTATCGATGGGTAAGATTATTAAAGAATCAACACAATTTCGTTATCCGTGAGTAAGATTATTAAAGAATCAACACAATTTCGTTATCGATGGGTAAGATTATTAAAGAATCAACACAATTTCGTTATCATTCAAGAATCAACACAATTTCGTTATTGATGGGTTAGATTATTAAAGAATCAACATATATTTGTATATTTGTTCATGATTTAGATTATTGAGGAATCAACATATTTTTGTTGTTTTTAAGGTGCTACTTATGTTGTACAGCCGGCAGTGCTCTTGGAGTATATAGGTGAAGAATATATCAGTGAGTTTATGGGTATAGTAATGTGTGTATATGGTGTATCAAATTTTATTGGCAATCCTTTAGCAGGTATGTATTAACCCTACACCCCCTGAATTTGCGAATGGATTTGACCAGCTATGTCGCTAACATAGCGATTGTGTAATGAATACTTTGTATTTCAATGCTGTTCTTTGAATATGCTCCTTTTATGTTGATACTCCGTTTATTGCTCCTTTGGTTTTCGCGCCAAAGTCTTATTATATTACATTGCTCCTAATAACTTTCCCGCCATTGAATTCCCGCCACAAACATATTCACGTGCTTTTCATGATAGCATTGTATAAATAGAGACCGTATGGTCACAGAAATTTAGTGTGTGTTAAAAAGTATTGTAAGAAGGAAAGTGATTGAGATATGAAAAGGATTTTGATGTAAAATACATTTAGTTGTAAAAAGTTGTTAAAGAGATAAAAACTTGTGGATTGTAAAAGTAAAAATAAAAAAGTGTTTAAAATTGGAAATTAAAAGTAGAAACGAAAAAGTGTTTCTCTCTTTACGACAAGCTTTGAATTTGGAAGAGTCCATTCAATGTTTAAGGTATTTCAATATGAAAATACAAAAATTGAGCCAATAAAGGCATGACCTTTCGCCAAAATTGTGGCAAGGGCAAAGCACTCTTGGTGATCAATATTGACTGTTTCAAAGGCGGTGTGCTACAAAATACGATATCCAAAAAAAATTGCTACAAAGTACGCTATTAATTTCTCAAAGCAGCATGCCTCCAGATCCATATCATTTTTTTATTTTATCTTTTTTATATTGTAAATTTTGAATATTATCTACAATCCAACATATCCAAAGCATTCTTTTTTAGTTTAAAAATGTTTTTCAGTGGCCCTAAAAGTGGCATTGTGCTCATTTAAGTTTAAATAGTGAACAGGTAAAAGTCAAAATAACATTATATTTTGCTAGAATTGTTTCCAGTTATATATTCATCTTCAAATACATAAATGCATAAACCGAAATATGTTGTCACAGTTAACATTATTAGTTCATATTTTTGCTCTTTTTTATAATTTATTCATATTAATGATTTACTATACATGTAGTTTAATACAAAAGTATTATTTTGTTTAAAGGATGGATATTTGACGTTACCGGAAGTTACAGAACTACATTTTTGGTCGCAGGTATAATGAATGCGCTTGGTGGTGTTGTGAACTTTCTGGTGCTGTGTACAAAATCTAGTCGAAGACACGCAACTGAAGAAAATATATGATGTGTTGGAAAGTTAGCTAATTTGGGCTATGTTTACTCATAACAATATTTGTTTGTTTCCCGGTTAATATCAGTCCAAAATATGAAAACTGAAGCAATGATGTGAGTCAATTTCCGGTAAATCAATTGGCGCATGCGCAAAATCGTTGCAAAAACTAAAAATAGGATTCAAGCATTTTACTAGGGAGAGTTTTTGTTTTCTATATGCGTTAATAACAGGAAAAAAAACTCTCTCATAACATGACAATTTAATCAGTTGTGTTTCAGAACAATTTGACCAATATGTGTTCGTGTCATATTATCCCCTAGAAAAACAAACAGTTGTATTTTCATATTTATTTATATTTCGCCAGCATTGGGTTTACATCCTTTTTAGCTGATTGTAAGCTCAAAACATTTATTGAATTCGCATATTGACGATGACATAGTATCATATTGTTTATTCATTTTTGTTGATTTCTGTATGAAGTTGTTTACATAATTATATTTTATTTACAGTTTTGTTTATTTTTTTAATAATTTTAAAGCATATTCTTGATTTTAAAATAAATATACAAATTTTGTTCGTATTGTATTCTGTTCATTTTTTGTTACAATTTGTTTGTTGAATGCTGTAACGAGAATGATGCTTTATCTTGTCTAATAACTTCGTTATCAACGTCAAGAAATAGATAATAGTCATTCCGTTATAAATGAATGAATGAATGAATGAACAAATAAATAAATAAATAAATATTTATTAATATCATTACATAGGACGTAGCTCGCTTAAATGGCGCTAGCGACAACAGGACAAAACGCCAAACGGCGCGTTTTCGGACTCTCGTCTTGTCGTCCATTCGCTTACGATGTTCGCTAAAAGGCGCGTTGTCGTGTGGCGTGTTGTCGCGATGACACATTGTCGCTAGGTTCATATCAAAGGATTGGCTTATAAGTCAACCGTTAGGGCGACATTGCGACAACGCGCCGCACGACAACGCGCCTATTGGCGTGCTTCGCAAAAGACAGGACGACAGCGTGACAACGCGTCGTTTGGCGCGGTTGGGCGCTTTGTCATGTTGTCGCTAGAGACAAGACGAAAAGCCGATATAGGTTGCGTTGTCGCTATCAATAACGCAACGCGCAATGTACCAAATCAGCCACCGTAGTTGCTAGATAAACGTAGTGGCTAATTTCTTGAATAGTTGATACTATGGGGTCAATATACACTGTTGAGTACAACACTAGATTCTACTGAACCAGTACACAGCTGCAACCAGTCGCGTGCTATTCATGATTTGTATGTGTAGGAGAGTGTATTTTGGCAAATCGCAATTGATGCAACTGTTACATAAGAGAGGTAACTCTTACTACATTCCGTACCGACACTATGCACTGTTACTTCCCTTTAACCAATACAACCATAAGGGGAAAAAACTCATTACCGTATATCGTTTTTTTTACTGTGGTGATGATTCTGAAATTATATTACCAAGTACATCACATCTAAAAATCGAAATCACTATACTATAACTCGGTTTTCTCAGACAACTCAGTAAAAAGACTTATTGAAGTCACCCTAGGTGTTCCTATTAGCAAGTCTATTCAATTCAATGTGTACCATTCTAGCGATTGCATGACTGTGCCTGCAACTTTCTATCACTTTATAATTTTAGAACTTATATATTTCAATTCGGGAATTTCTTGAGAAAACATGAAGTTGAATGGTATTTCCACTGTGAACATAAAGAAATATATGAAGATAAATGGCAATCTGCTTTGGTGTCCTTTTCTTTCCCCCATCTGTTAATCCCCGTTTTTGTACCGTGCCCCTGTTATCATGTTTTGCGACTGCGGTCTTTGACTGTTACCCTCCTTTTGAATCCTAAAATTACTCTTTTTTATAACTATTTTTTAATGAAGGGGCATTGTATTTGTATATACATGTATATGTACTTGTGATGGGTGTTTCTTTTTGTAGTAGTAAGAGATAATGTGTCCTATTTATTCAATTTAATTTGTTTGTAGGTGAGTAGAGATGACTTCAACCAATTGCATTTTCCAGGATTTTAATGCAGTTCATGTTATTAACTTTTGGTCATGTTTTAATGATTGAAATGGAAATTTTCGCCAGTACCTTAATTGACCTGTCGCATGTTGTAAGTAATTTGCATATTATGGCAAATGCTTACGCACATGAAATTAAAATCAAATAAATATACAGTAGAACTTCGGTAAGTCGAAGTTGAAGGGACTTGCGTAAAAACTTCGACACATCGGGACTTCGACTCATGAATCGCTCTCAATTCCATGACAAAATTTCGACCCGTCACTAGTATATCGAAACCTAATTCATGTTTTTTCCATCATTAATCTGATATTCACATTTTACAATGATAAATATAGCATGTTAAATAACGTTTTTCACGGCTAATTATTTGGACTACCTGTTGACGTATACAATAGAGTTACAAAAGGCGTAACAATACGAAAGGGCGATAACATAACCAACTTATAGTATATATTTCGCTTGTTATTCTCATGCGACACCGGGTCAAGGATGTAATCAAATGAAAGTAGTTCTTACTGTTTACTTTCAAATACCACTACGGCAATTAAAATAGTAACGATTAAAGCATTTTATCACACATTTTATCGCAAACAAAGGCTGTTTGAACACACGGCTGTGTAATTAACACCTGTCACACAAGTTGATTGGAAATCGTCTTCGGAGCCAGATAAGGTGTGAAAAATGTCTCGAGATCGACGGTGTCAAAATAATCGAACAACTTCGACTTATTTGTGGTAAATTGCACTAGATTTACTGAACACGGACCACGAAAAAACCTCGACACGTCGAAAAATTCGATACATAAAATCTCGACTCATAAATAGGTTTTTATAAGGAATATATAGGGGGAAAAGTCGGAACTTTAATTTTTCTTCGACACATCGAGAAAATCGACTAATCCAAGTTCGACTCTTAGAAGTTCTACTGTACATTTGAAAAATTAAATAAAAGTCTCCATGGCCGAGTGTTACCGACTTCTTCTTTAACTGGCTCATTTATCTATACCCACTGACGTTTGTAAGTATTCATGTGATGAAGCTACCCAGCTAGCTTACAAAAAGTGTCGGGTTCTACCCAGGTGCAAATGCCAAGAACTTCCCCGAACTTTAAAGCTGGAAAGCTGACATATGGCTTGGCGGCGATTGTTTTGAGCATGCACAAAATGCGCACGTTTAATGCGATGTCACCGAGAAGATTTGGTTATGCATGTGATTGTGTAGCGCTGACCTCTGCTTTTTTAGACATTTCGGACGTCATGAAAACGCCGCCCTGGTCATTCTGGTGTGACAATGATTTTAAACCCGAAAAAAACAATATGGAAATGTTTCAAATGCATGTGTGGCCCAGAAATGCATTAGAAACAAATAAATGTTTGCTTTTTTAAAAAGGGCAAACATGAATGTTATAATGTTATAATGTTTAAATAATGGTTTCGGAGAATGGTAGATGTTTACCTCAAGTAAGTAGCAATAAATGTGATATAATTTGTCATGAAATAGAAAAATAATAATCAAAGTAGTATTTTGACTTTCGTACAAACTATACCAATTCACTATAACTGTACTTATGACATAATAGCAATAGAAAAAAAGATTTTACTGGTAATTAGCCAATAATTAACGTTTGGTACACCAAAATAAAAAGGTTTTTGAGAAATAAAAAAAAGTATTTCTGAGGCATTATGGGCCTTTAAAATGTTGCGGTTAACAAGGTAGAGTCAGATTGCTCTACATAAGCGTGTGCTAATTAAAAAAAGTAGAACATGTAAGTAGAGATTACAAAAAGGGCGTATGAAGATAACAAGATAAGATAATTAAAATCAGGATAATACTCCGTGTATTATGACATATTTTTCCCGTTATCATACTCTACCATTGTTACAACAAGGTTAATTAGAAGTATTTCAATACATTGCACATCTTTAGTCTGTTACTCACAAAAAGGACAAATTAATACTCTGTCAAAGTCATAGATCGGCTTTTTAAACTTCTATATAATTAAAACAAGAGGAAAATGGAGAACAACACGTCGGGTCTTGCACTCGACACATTGTCCTTTAAGGTGGTCATTGGTGCTTGTCTATTTTGGAATCTCATCATACAGATGCCAGTGAAGGACCGGGTACGACTTCAAACTGAATTTAACACTATGTGATAAATACATCAGTTCAATCCCCTGCTGTGACCTTGACATTTCACCGGGTACGACTTCAAGCTGAATTTAACACTATGTGATAAATACATCAGTTCAATCCCCTGCTGTGACCTTGACATTTCACCGGGTACGACTTCAAACTGAATTTAACACTACATGTATGTGATAAATACGTCAGTTCAATCCCCTGCTGTGACCTTGACATTTCACCGGGTACGACTTCAAGCTGAATTTAACACTATGTGATAAATACATCAGTTCAATCCCCTGCTGTGACCTTGACATTTGACCGGGTACGACTTCAAACTGAATTTAACACTATGTGATGAATACAAATGTACATCAGTTCAATCCCCTGCTGTGACCTTGAAATTTAACCGGGTACGACTTAAAACTGAATTTAACACTATGTGATAAATACATCAGTTCAATCCCCTGCTGTGACCTTCACATTTGACCCAATCGCAACTTCTCAGCCCTTTCCGTCAAACTTCGGATAAGAGCTATAGTTATTGATCACAGCAGAGATTTTCCGATTGCATTTGACCTAGGGAAATGGGTCTTGCACGCAACAATGTATCTACAGCCATGCGACGGAATCAATACATGCAAAAGTAATGAACCGGACACGGAAGTGTTTTTGAATCCATATACACCCACACTCACGCAGATTACCGGATATAGACTTCTCCTTATCCTCAAGCGAGGGCATAAAATTTCTTACAAACTATCAAAGAAATAAATGAAAAATAGAAAAAGAAATTAATTGACTGACGAAAAAAATCTCAACTTTTCGGTCCTTTCAACTAAGCTACCTTATCGACTAGGTATTCCGAGAACAAGCGTACTTCAAACACTTTCTGTGTTCCAGTTGACTGAAGGACGCGATGACGATGCTATGATAAACATTTTGAAATTGGGACGTGATTTTATGCCAGGATTCGATATGAAGATACATGTGTATTAGATACCAATGGAAAATTCTGAAATAGATAATAAAGATATATACTGAAAATTAAATTAAATATCGATAACTAGTGTATTTTTTGACGATTTGAGTGAAAAGCGTTGCAACGCTTTACATTTTATTTTTGATATTTTGCAGAATCAAATATTCTGGAAGAACGAACAGAGGGAATGATCTGACAATTCGCACACAAGTTATTGGTTCAAATCTACATCAAATGGTGTACAAATCTTTGGAAAATATCTCCTGTCCCATCATGTCAAAACTCAGGTGAGTCCCTTTAAAAAAGCCCAAAACGGTAAAACTGAAAATGTTGCAGCCCCGTTTGATTCGGCCTGGACGTAGTCTACTGCTCATGCTGAAACAGTATTCACCATTTAAACAGTAATACGGCAGATTTTATAATTTTGATTCAGTAAAAGAAGATACGTAAAATGCAGCTTGAAAATTTTAACTGTAATAAAGGACCTTGGGCATCAATAGACTACCTCTCGAATCCGGAAACGACCATTGACCGTCAAAAACTTTTCGGATGGGGTTCAAACATTTATCAATCTAAAACGTCTTGTAAATTTGATCTTTGTGAGGCTTACTCGTGCGCGGAAGACGAGATTTAATGGATTCTGTCCTACTTCCTGGGTCGATACATTTAGTCACACCTTTTATATACATGTTATAGTAATTATACATGCATATATTACACAATAATGTATATCAAAATAATTACAAATGCGTTTCGAGTTTCATTCCAAAATGAGATTCTTCGGTAAATTAAATCAAACTGCTACATACTCGATGTAAAATAAATCTATGGTCCCCTCTAATACTATTCTCTTACTGGGTTACCTTGTCTCAGCTACTAAATACCTAAAACATTCATACAATTTTTAAATGACGGTAGATTCTTCTTTCCACAGCTTTGTTAACTTCGATACCGACATTCAAGTGTCATCTTAGGTTCATAAAAAATGTCATAAAATCGGGACAAGCTTCAACATTGAATGCCTGAGTTGCATAAGTAAATCCTTTGGTCATTAAATTCAACTAGAGCAATTAGTTAAAACTTGAATGAGAATGGAATGTTGAACGGTGACCTGATTTGATATGTGTTTTTCAAGGATTTGTTTTTTACGGTCAAGGCCTTATGACGTCCCAGTTTATATAGCAGGTGGCGTGGTGATGGTGTTGATATTTTTCACTCCTGACAACGGCCGATAGCCACATTGAATTTACCAATGCACAGTTCAACCACCGCCTCGTTCCTGGGCAGGCTGTCAAGCAATTTTCCAGTACAAGTTGGCTTAATTTTCGCAAGGAACTGATAACTTCTGTATATACCAGAGCAGAGGTACAGTGCGAATGACCGTAGAAAAGATTTCATAATCATACATAACGAAAGTGACCTGCATCATCCGGGAATCGAACCCTGGTCGCCTGATTCACAGCCAATCCCTCTACCTAATGAGCTAACAGGACGATTATGTGCAGCAGGTGGCTTTTCATTCAATGTTTCATACAGATACCAGAGTATGACCGTCGGTCTTTCGGAGCTAATGAAAGACTCGTAAGAATCTGGAATCGAACCAAGCTACTGAGGGGCGTTTTCGGGTACAACTTTATGTAAAAGAAACGATGTATATTTGGTTAACATCTATTTATTTCAACAAGTCTCCCATATCGTGTTACAGCGGGACAAACATAAAAAACAATTTATTATAACAATAGAAAAAAGAAAAACTCTGACTATTTACAAACGTCATGTACATTAATTCATTTTTAAAGTCTATCAAATCGCATAACATGTAATGAGCTGTGTAAGTCACATTAAATATAATCATGTGACGCCTTTCACACGTGACTTTTAACGCTTCTTTTATCACGTGACATCTATATTTAAAAATCCATGCAAATATTTTTATGTAATAAATATTTACAGTACATGCTGATTTAAAAGCCTGTAAATTCTATTTAAATTCATAGCGTTGTTAATGAACATTAATTCCGTAAAGCTGAGCTTACAGCGATGGGCTTATTTCGGAAAATAATTAAATTGCGTACATTTTTTCAAAGTCATCAAAAAGGAATGGGTAAAGATGTCTAAAACCAAAGTAATTAGCATATAACTTATTAATATTGTTGAGAGTTATGAGTCACGTGATAGTGTGTTGTTCTTTATCATTGGTTAAATATTTGTTGCTATATATGATAATGTCTTGCCTTTAAATTTCCCGCGAGTCAGCAAGATATGACGTCATCAGTTTTGATTAAAATTTAAAAGTAAATAGAGAGACTAACTAAAACAAAAATGTCAGTTTGAGAAAAAATCATGTATACACGTAACAGTTTTAATAACTGGCCTAAAGTTCACAGACTCATAACTTTAAACACGCCACTTATAATCAACACGTGTTAAACCACGTGATACTAACACGTGGTATGTCGGTGCAATGTAAAATATGTACAATCTGAGCATATACATAAAGATATTGAAAACAATAAATGACAACCAAAAACATATATATACAACCTGTGTGTAAAAATGCAACCGTATCTTATTATCATAATGTAATGCACAAAATGTAAATAAAATGCATTTTAATTATATGAAAAGGCAAAATCTAGAGGTCCATTTTGGGGGCTACATCCTCACCAACAAATACGGTAATCAACAGGATTTTGAATAATATTTTCATAAATTGTATTTTCATTGACATCCTATTTTAAACTAAGAGGTAACTTCTAAATTAAACTGAAAAACTAATAGTTATGGACATTATTGACATTGGTCAATACAGGTCTGTATTAATTTATGCCATTTGAAGTTTTAAAATTTGGTTAGAAAAAATGAATTGCATATATGGTAAATGCAAGATTTATACTGCAATGCATTGTTGTTTATAACTTTCTTTTCAGTTTTCAACTTGTTTTTTTTTCATAAAAGGGTATCCATAACTCGCTCACAATGGTTCTTTTTTAACAGTGTAAGTTTTTCAATATATGCCTGTCCCATGGAAATTCATTCTGTATTCTCGCTTAAAGAAAAAGTCACGATACCAAGACAGGTCGAATCCAGGATATCTGGCGTGATATTATAGAAGATTTCAAGGCAAAAATCGGGGGGGGGGGGCTTCTATTCATTATTAGCACAAATAACAAGCTCATTAATGGCAAAGCTCTATTTTCTGCATGAGCAGGACTGTGTCGAACCACCAATGGATCTAACTTTTGGGCAAAATAAGCATTTAATTTATTTGTAAAGATATTATCGAATTTACATTTCATGTAAATAAAGGGAGGTAATTAGAAACCTAGTTTCGATAAACTATAAGCCAAATTTTTCAACAAGAAATGAATGCATAGATTTTTATGATTACTTATAATGCGAATAAACATTTGCAGTACATATCTAACATATTCTTGGATGTTTAGAAATTGTTTTAGAAAAAGAATTATATACATACATAAAATTTCACTAAAGTGTTGTTACATCCTTAATTACAACATACAAGATCTTTAAAATAAGATATCTTAGACGACGGTTGCCATGGTAACATGCGCACTGGCTATCCATTGTAAATTAAAAAGTAATCGGAATGGGTAGCACATATGCATGACAGTAATATACATAAAAGTTATAAAAAGACTACTAAAAACGTTACCATGGGAACTAGAATAACACAGGGGATCCTTGATTTTTAAAAATGATCAGCAAAAAGACATTTTAATAAGATATCATTAAATTCAAAATAAAAGATATTGTTGATTATGAATTCAGTCCCATGGAAAATTATGTTAATAAGTTTTAATATATGTATATTACATTAAACTTTACCCCACAAAATAAATTAAGTGAACTTGTCCATTTTTCCAACTGGGCAAAACTATTCAACATTTTTAGAGAAATAGCATATACTTATTGAAAAGTGAACAGTGCAGACCATGATCAGATGTCACGGACGTGCCAGCTGATCTTTGTCTGCACTGGTCGCATAGGTAAAATCCCCTGTCGTCAGCGTTCTAATGAATAAGTAAAAAAGAGAAGAAGAAAAACATTTGCTAAGTAAGACTGCATAAAAAGATTGAATATATATACGTATTTATCACATTTATAATCATATCACTGGGTACATTTTAACATCTTAGAATTGAACGAAAATAAATAACTTATATATAATAGGAAAGACAACGAAAGGAATGCTAACAGCAATAGACAATCTTAGATTTTTTTATATATATCTATAACTATATATTACAAAATGGGTTTTAAGCATTTGGCCAATATTAGAAGAAAAAAATCTTAATACTTCTTTATACATCATAGCCTTTCAAGATGCCAAAGACGGATTTGTTTGTTTTTTCACAATGAGGAAATTAATCAATGCCGAAGTTTTTATTTAATTTAAGTAGATTACACCATACATAAAATATTCCATATTAAGCTTAAATCTATGAAATATATCTTAAAACAAAAGCTTTTACTATTATTAAAACAGAGTAAAAAGAGAATAACAATGTCATGTATATAATAATCATAGTAACAAACAAGCCATTAGGGACAAACATTTTGTATCATTAAATCTTCAACTATCATTCCTGTATTGCCATTTTTTTATCAAACAATCCTGGGAAAAAACAACATATTGCTATTGAAAGCGTAAACAAAGTTATTAATAAAACCAGACAAAAAACACACTTTTAAGAATTGAAAAAGAAAATTATTGTTACAAAAAAATCAAGGTCATATTGCCTGTATTTATTATTTTATACTTCCTCAATGCACGTGATAAAGACGGGATAATGTTTTCAGACAAAGAATTAGTATTTTTCATAAATTAAGGGGTACAACTCTTGGCATACTCGTGACGTGACACGATTAAGTTACGCCCCTTTGCATAATGCATTTTTAACTATTTCCTGTTGTTGATTTTTTTTATCAAGGATCAAATTGTGTTCCTCGTGATATAACAGTGTGGTTTTTAATGCAGTGTTAAATTCATAACAAAAACATAGGGCAATCTGTGACAAAATATACCTTTGTAACAAATAGTTAATAGTTTGCCAATAAAGTTATAGATCTAGATCAGTCAATGAACAAAATTATATCATGACCGTGATCATGTACAAGGAATGTGGTAAGACGCCCTAGGATGTACAAATTATATAAAAAGCAATAAAAACGGAGAACATTTACATATGTATATTGACATTAGTTATGTCGTATATTTTTGTGACCTTAACATAACAAAAATTGACCTTTATATAGAATTTCTACAAGAAACCAAGGTCAGTGACATAACTTATTCACATTTAAAACATTCGCGAGATCAAACCCTAAACCCACCTTGCTCAACCCTTGCAATCTCTCAGTAACTTGTATCATTGTAAAACGAATGTGGCATATGTCTCAAATTATAAAACATATTTTAATTTAATTTCTACATGACTTCTAAAAAATTCCAATAAATTACTTTATTTAAACTTGATAGCATACGTTTTTTCCCCAAATTTACTTGGATTTGAATACTTGAATAAAAGTAAATACATGAAATTCAATCATTTGATGGAGCCAAATGTCCCATTCGTGTTGAAATATAAGAAAGTAACTGATAGTTGACAAGTTGGGGGCGGGGTGAGCAAGGTGGGGGTCAGGGTCTGACGTCGAGAGTATCAGTGATTTACAGAAAGAAGTGAAAACGAAATTATTGCATTCATAAGTAACAAAGCAGAACAAGTACAAATAAAGGAAGAGTATAAATGAGGCACTATTTTGTTCGAATCTCCATCCACCTTCTTCTGAGACTGAACATGAAATCCTATCACTGTTGTATATAAATCGTTTTGTTTAATTACAATCTTACATGAGTTATTTAAGGAGAATGTATGTACACTAGTATTTCCTTTATAACATTGTCTTGCTAAAGTCATGTCGGACACAAATGGTCCGTTCAACATGCTTCATGTTAACGTTAGGAATAAATATGTACCATTCCATGTTCTGTTTGAAGTTCCAGTATTATACATCATTCATCATATTACTTCCAATAAGCATCATATCCTGAACATCATGTCACTACTGGCATCATATCCTAAATATCATGTCACCGTAGGCATCATATCCTGAAACCCATATCACTTTTTGCATCATATCATTCATCCTGACACAACTAAGCATTGTTCGAGCCAAGACAAGCCATTCTGACAAGGAAGCATTTCTCTGAAAGTTTCTACTTCCGCCCATGCGCACGCCAAATAGTTCTATTTCCGGTTTTCTCTATTTTGCCAAAAAATAATATGTCTCTATGACGTAATGAAATCCAATTAATGAACACAATGGAAATATATCTGCTTACGTCGCTCCATTTAAAAGTCAGAAGTTATATGTTCCTTCGTGTAACATGCGAAAATCGTGAAGATTAATAAGTTTCCGGTTTCTATTTATAAATATAGTTCCGGTTGTATAATTCTACGCATGCGCTGTGGTCTGATATATATGTTCCATGTTGTTTAGCAATCTGTTATGCATTGTTATATGGTTTATTCCGTTTAGAAGTTATATTTAAACAGAAATAACACGGTACATCTGTAATGCATCCGTCGGATGAATAAAATAATGAATATTAGTTTGTTTATCTATTTAAATTATTTACACAGCACTTTTAGTATGATGATTCTATTGCTACCCCAAATAAAATATCCGCCTCTAAATTATGCAAACTTGTCTTCTGCCTGAAAATATACAAAGAATTAAACATATGGAATCAATACACGTTTACAAGTCTCAATTTATTAATGCTTTAAAAGTATATTTTAATATATTTATAAAAACATAATTACTTGAACTGTATTTATTTCATGATAGTTTTACAAATAACTAAGTTTTGACCGTCTTGAAATGGACAACACTTTCAGTATCAGATATTAAATGTGTTTTCGAACTTGAACCATTCTGAAACATTACCACAGAATGGTGATTTTCATTTACATATTTTCCAGTAGATCATATTGTGATGGATTGTCACGTTACATTCTATTGATTCTTTGTGTATCAAACAAAAGTTAAAGGCACATCATGCCTAAGAAACGACTTTTTCTTTTTCTTATGTTTGTTAATGTTTGAATATTAAATTTAGAGCACACAGTTTGTATTTGATATTAATCACAAGAAGGTTAGAAGCGCTGATTTTAAATAATTCACAATAAAGGCAGCAAAACGTAAATAAATTGTAATTTTGATTTCCGTATAAAATACTTAATCACTATAACTTAAAAAAAATGATACGGGCAAAAATTGTAATCGATGGTTCTGCCAATATGACCAATGAAGAATTTTCGGAAATTATAACAGGACATTAAAAACAAGTTTTTGTGAAATGGAAATAATAGTTTTTTGGACATAAATGGGCCTTTAAAGAAAATCTAGAACTTGAGTTATGTACAATAAAGTCAAGCGTCCAAGAAAAGTTAGACAAATACCAAGCAAAGTATGTAACGTATCATTTCTTTTTATACGCACAATTAAATAAAAGAGGCATTGTAAACGGTTGAAATTTAGTACGAATTTAGTACAACAACACGTTGTTAAATCTTAGATGATAATTGTGACAGGTGCAGTTGGTAAAACAAAGAAACAGACAAAAACATTAGAAATAGTTGGTAAAACAAAGAAACAGACAAAAACAGTAAAAATATTTTATTCTAAGAAAGATGTCAGCTAAAACCGTGAAAAGCTATGCTTCTGCTTTGAGTATCTAGTTATTACGTCACGGTAATACGACGTTGTTGGACGGTATAAACGTCAGTCGGCAAAGGGCGCCTCAGTTGAATCATCGTCCTTCAACAAGGGGTTGGGGTGATATTCAAATTGATAGTTTATATTTTAAAATTCCAGAAAGGCGGTTTGCTCTTGAATACTGTTTGAAAATTCATATTTTATTTATGAGAGGATTTTACAGGGGTTTTTTTCCAGAAGAAAAAAACGTCTGTTCTTTAATGTGAAAGGTGTGCAGCATCAATGAATGGGACCTCGGCTTTTAAAGTTATTTGATCTATAATGGAAGGTCAGTTATATAGTTAATAATTACTTTGATAGTATTTAGTTAGTAAACATAACAACAAACTATGAAAGAAATATATATTTGTGTAGATGGCAAATATAAGATCAATAATTTTTTCAAGGAATATTTTATAAGAATATCCAATGAAACATTTCCATTGATTTTATCAATATTTGAAATAATTATGGAAAAAAAGTGTCCATAGCAGACCAATCCGCTTTAAAAGTCCTATTCAAAAGCCCGTTTGTTATTTAAACTAGAATGGCGGTAGATCTAACTCAGGACTGCGTTTTCCACGGCATGATCCACTGTGACCGCCATTCAGAAATCTTGCTATATGTTTATATAATATAGGTTAGTAAGCGAAGCAAAACAATTTATTTCTAAGATATATCGTACCCATAAAACAAAACACAAAACCGGAAAACGCAATAAAACTTGACTTTTTACGACAATAAATTATGTAAACGGAACGCTTAACGTCGCTTCATAACTCTTCCATAAATTTCAATAAGGTTAAATTTACAGCACATCAATTTTCTTAAAATAAAATGAATGACACGAGATTATTCGCAAATGTCTTCTTTCATGTCAGTGAACATGGCGGTGACGACCTAGTGATGTCTACACACCATTTTAGTCTCACACATTAAATGATGATGTTCAAATTTGGCTGCCCTCGTTTAAAGTTGACAAGGCGTGTTTGTAAAATCTACATTTCAGATCGGATATTGTTTCAGAAACGTGAAATAAATTTGAATGGGCGCATAAAGACTGCAATTGTTCACGTTCAATTTGCAATCTGTGTATGTGTATTTTATGTAATGATAATTTAGGCGATGAATTCCATTACCATAACTCGAATTTGAACGAAAAAAATACATTTAGAAGATTTTATAGATTTATATTGTCAATGTACTTTAAATATGTTATTAATATGAAATGTGATTCTAACAAACACAAAAGATTACTTTTTAAGCATATCGTCACAAAATAACGCAATTATTTTCAAATAATATTCTTACTCCTCATCATTTTGGAACATGTGTCTGCTTGTGAATCGTAGTAAAATATTTCTTCTATGTATGCTTATATTATTATTCTCCCTATGCAGTCAGTTAAACATGTCCTAGCCTAAACTAACGTGACTACAACGTTACCGAAAAGCAAACCAGTGTTATAACATTGCAACTGTCTCGTAGTATAATTTTATAGGTTTTAAAAATGTTACAATGCGACAGTTTTATTGTAAAGAAAGTGCTTTTACGACTTCAGAAAAAGGTCGGGGTTGGCAATTCATTTAACTTGACCTTACTTTCAATAACAGTCATTTAAAAAACATTAAATGTAGACAATATTCAGTGGTTCACAATTATCTCGTTATCGCAATACCGCATATATTTAATTTTTTTGTGTAACGGAAACAACGCGTCTTGGTGAATCTATCTACACGTCATCCGTGACAGAACGCCAAACGAATGATATGACGTTAGACAAATCCGTATTCCGTGAGGATAGCTTTGGCCTAGTGGGTACGGTGTTTGTTTCGCAACCAAGGGAACGTAGGTTCGGGTACTAATCGGGTCGTGGTCATGACACCGTGAACTGGTAAGCTCCATGCCGAGTCGAAAGTAATTGATATAATGTATATGTCGGACACGTTTTCAACAGAAAGGTCCCTAAACTATGCACATGTTTCGTCATTAAATAAATACCGTATTCAATTCATCTATATACATGTATTCGACGATTAATATGATCTTCCTTCCTAAAAAAAAAGTGAGATTATTTACAAAATGTTTTGAAACTTTAAATCTTCCGCTAGTTTTACAAATTCTGGAAGTTGAAACTTAACTGTCATGTTGTCTTTCGGTGGTTTCATTCATAATGTCGATCGAAACCAAAACTTTATATATCATACCAGTTATTAGGTTTTTCCCTAAACATAAAACACGGACATGGTTTGTTTCACAAATAATACACCATCGAAATTTGATGAATCGTTCTGATTGTCATCATATTTTCAGCTCTGATTATTTTGTTTTTCATATATTTGTGTAAACAGTAACTTAAGTTAACTAAAGGGATTTGTTTTATTGATGTTTTTTTATTTCATCTAATACGAGGTTTCTATCATTACAAGACTTATGACGGATTTGCGGAGAAAAGCTTTTAGAGTTTAGAAACGAAATCTGATTTTCTATTTACGCGTTATATAACGGGAATCAGTTTACTTTACTGTTTTGCCACAAACAGACGCTTGCTTACAGATTAATTGTTGTAATAGAACGCCCACCAAATCTTTTACTAATTCTCCAGTCAATTGTTACTTCTCTGGACTTAATCCCCACTAATTTTGCGCCAAAACAAAATCTCTGCATGTGGAGCCAGACAGAAACCTAATAAGAGCTTCCGTAAGACAACGCACTCGACTATTGTCAGTGTTTGACAGAAAGAAAAGGGGCATAACTCTGTAATAAGTTAACTCAGAGTTATGGACCCAGTGTACATCATACTTTATAATCACAGAGAACAAGAATGCTTAGTTTTAACCCATTCCATTTATTTGTTTTGTAGATACAAACTTGCACGTTAAAACTGAAAGAACAAAAGTTTGACGCTACGCTGAGGTCAGTACAATAGCTCGCCCTGTTCGAGCAAAAGATAAGGCTCATTCCCCCCTCTTCCTCTGCTTGCCACGAGGGTATATGACGGGGTTGCACCTTGTGTTTGCATAACAATATCCATATCGTGTTTTTCAGTGTCATACAAAAATGATCAAAGAATGAATAGATTTGATACTAGTACTTTGAAAGACTGATTTCATATATACGCCGTCGGAACCCACGGTACACATTCCGTATATATACTGGTAATGCGGTAAATAGCCTGGGTTACCGAGGATAGCATATAGCATGACTCCCTGAACTCTACCGACATAACATATCAGTGTATCTAAGACGGTGTCTAGCTTGTACTTATGTAAGATTAATGAAAACACATTCATGATACGTGCACGATATATACGTGCCAGTCTCGCGTGATACACGCCTAAAACTATTCCTTTATCTTTTAGCAATTAAAATGTTTAACACCTTTAACATTGTGAAAATTAGTCTGAATAACGCTTGTTTACATGTGAGAAATAGCATTGCTATGTAACATTTTCAAATTATTAGGAAAATGCAAAGTTGACACTTTCTTGTCAAATACCTCAAGAGTTTGACATCCCAATGCACGGGAAATTCATTAAAGCATAATGTTAACGATTAAAACATTGTGAAGTTTTATGTCTAGCTATGGTGAAATTCGTGTTTAGTTTGACAGATGATCATTTGACCTTTGCGAGTGGTACAGTTAGTGAATACACGTAAATTATGGTATAAATCAAACTATATGAACAAAACCGGCATCGTCTCCCTATTCTTTTCTAGTGGTTTAAAATGCATGTAAAACTAATGTTCTAGGAAACTATTGATAATTTGGAACGGAAGCATTTCTTGCAAACTTATATAATGTTTTTTTTTATTCCCGTTGACCGTTCACGCCGGAATTATAATAACTTGATGACAAGCAGAGCCCAAAAATTGGATTTCATTGTTATGGACAAACATTTTACAGTATGTTTGTTTACCGAGCTACGCAAAAAAATCCATCGCTCTGGCTGTTTCT